GTTTTTATTTAACGTTTTAGTTTGTTTAGGTTTTTTTCTCTCTTTCCTTGTAATTTTTTTATTTTCGTTAAAGTATACAGAAATAAATTGTTTATTATGTTGAAGATCAGTTACAATTTCAACCATAAAGCATACTAAGAGTTTAAAGATATCATAAAACCTAACTCACAACCTCACATTTATACCAAATTGTTGAGCACAACTCTTTTGTTGGATTACATTGACACTGTTTTATTACAACTTGAGAATAATTAATAGGATCAAGTCTATAAGGACTTACAAAACAAAAATACTCTAGGACGTTACTATTATATTTTGCTTTTCCAAAATATTAAAGAAAATGAGCTCCTTAGCTATTTATAGGTGTCTCCCACCTACATGTAGGAAGGTTCTAGGTTTTCCTAAGAACTTGGTACATTAAAGACAATTCTAGAATATTATACCACACTAGATTAGTATTCATAAGGTTTTGCATGTTTTAAAAATGTTCCGCTATGTCGTAGAAAGTCTATAACTTTCTAAAATCTTTGAGGGTATTTTAAGACGTTTTTAAATCTTATGGTATCTTATAAGATATTATAGATTCTTTCGTAACATTATAGAACATTTTAACATTTTCTAATAACAAGTTTATATTAAAACTGGGTTACACTCTATTAGACTAGTGATGATCTTTAAACATATATAACATACAATCTCCACTTTAAGAAATCTTATATATAACATACAATCTCCACTTTAAGAAATCTTCATTACTTGGACCTGACTGATGCTCTTTTTCTTGATGCTTTCTTTCTTGAAACACTGAAACCACATATTTAACTTCTTATATTTAACTTCTTTGCATGAGACATCATATGATACGAGGAATACCATATTGTCTTCTATTAAAGGATAAACATTCCACGTGACAATTACAACTATTGTACAATCTTTGAAATCAACCAAAGTTTTGCGCCAAATAACTTTTAGTAGATATGTTTCTTAGTTAGGTTTGTTCAATGATGAAAGATTTCATATGAAAACTATAATGTTACATTTTGCATATATTATATAGACTTAGTTGTGTCAATTGTGTTAAATGTCAATTGATTTTTGAATTGAAATATCATCATTGCTAGTACTCAAAGACTATTTAGAAGTGAAAAATAATAAAATAGTATGTAAAATAATAAAATAGTTCGAAAAAACATGTCCAATATGAATTTCTATTATTTTCCCACATATTCGTTATCTAATTCATCCTAAAATAACAAAGTTTTTCATGAAAAAGAAAAATCGTCTAGGCCCAATTGTTACATATGACACCGAGCCCAATGAAATCCTTATAAGGTTATAATGTTATATCTTCTAAAACCCTAATCCATAGATTCACTCTTTCACCGTCGCTGTGCGGTTCATAGGCAGGAGAGAGCGCAACAATGGGTATGGCTTCCTTCCGTGATCTCTGATTCTGCAAATCCATGGTTTATATAATCTGTTTTCCTTGGTTGAATGTGGATGATGAGGTTTTAATTAGTTGAAACGCCGTGTGCTTTTGGTGGTTCTAACAGGTGCTTACACTTATGTTTCGGAGCTATGGAGGAAGAAGCAATCGGATGTGATGAGATTTATGCAGCGGGTGAGGTGCTGGGAATATCGCCAGCTTCCTTCCATTGTCCGTGTCACTCATCCTACCCGACCCGATAAGGCTCGTCGTATGGGTTACAAAGCCAAGCAGGTATATTTCTTCGTTTTCTCCCCAATTGCTTGTCTGTGATTTGTAAGCTTACACAAAAGGAAATGTATTCATATTATCATATCAATCAAACAATACTTAGGTTTACTAAGGTTGGCCAAAATGATTGAAATCCAATCTCTTAATTAATCAAAATGATTGTATTTGCAGGGCTATGTGATCTATCGTGTTCGTGTGAGGCGTGGTGGAAGGAAGAGGCCAGTTCCTAAAGGTATCGTCTATGGAAAGCCCACAAACCAGGGAGTTACCCAACTCAAGTTCCAACGTAGCAAGAGATCTGTTGCTGAAGAACGAGCTGGAAGAAAATTAGGTGGCCTTAAGGTTCTCAACTCTTACTGGCTCAATGAGGTATGCTAATTTCTTCTTTTACGGCTGTTTCCTTTAGAGTAACTCAATGCGATATCTACTCATTTTGAACAATTATACGTTGGCTTTTTCTTTATTAACTTGATGATTTAATTGGTTTAACCATAAAGGGTCTTAATGTATTAAGACACTAATCCTTTACAGAGCATGTTGAATCCTAACTTTTACAAATTTGGCAAGTTTGTTGTTATTCTCTGAAATGTTTTTTGAACATGTTTATGTAGGACTCTACCTACAAGTACTTTGAGGTGATCTTGGTGGATCCTGCCCATGCTGCGATCCGCAATGACCCACGGATCAACTGGATCTGTAACCCGGTACACAAGCACAGAGAGCTTCGTGGGCTGACATCAGCAGGAAAGAAATACAGAGGTCTACGTGGCAAGGGACACTTGAACCATAAGGCACGTCCTTCTAGGAGAGCAACATGGAAAAGGAACAACACTCTTTCACTTCGTCGATACCGTTGATGATGATGATGATGATGGGTTTAAAGGGTTGTTATTATTATTATTATGTCTGGTTTTTTCTTAGTTTTAAATTTCTGTTTTGGGATTTTGGACGCAATGTTTTTGGTTAATTATGGTTTAAGAACCAAGTTCAGTTTGTCATTTGAGAGATATTTGTTTCTGTTGTTTATTGAAAGAGAATGATGCTTTTAAAAGGTAGTTTTGTTGCTAACTTTGGGGTTGGGATGGTCTGGACCGTTTCAGACCTTCATACATGAGATGGTCACTGGTTACTGAGTGTTGGTCAACAAGTATGAGTCATTGTCAAGATCTTTGACCTTCGTTATGAAATGAAAATTTTGGGCACATTCTAGAGTTTTCAAATTTTATTTTTTCTCAAATTCAAAATCCCACAAAACTAACACAATTTAAACTAAGGATGTAAAGAGCAGGATGTTATGTATGATTGTTTTTCATTTTGAAAAAATGTGATTGGAAAGTCAAATTAGAAAATAAACTATTTAATATTAAATAGTTGCAAGTTTAAACTTATTATATAAAACTTCAGATCTAAACTATTGGGTTGTTTTTTTTAGCATTTGAAATGTTAAATCTGGATGGTTCACAATCTTTGAAAGAATATGTGTCTTGAGTGATATGTATATTTTATTTAAAAGCTTTGATCGAATTTGTCTCTAATTTAAAACACACTATAAAGTTGTTGAACGGGAAAAAATTGTTTTCCCTTTTTATTAAAAATTGCAGAACGACATCAAATAAAATCTTTAAAATAAAGTAAATGAAATTGCTAATTAAACAAGTGAAGCTATCACTTCAAATTGTCTTCCAATAGAAGCTTATGCCAGGCCTATTAGCTAATACCAAGGAGTGGTGAAACTCTTGTTGCAAAACTTGACAACTTAGCTCTTGTCTTTTTGTTGCTAACGTTAACAGATTAGAACACATGAGCACCATAACACAAGCTAAGAATAAAAACTACAATCATCTGCAAAAACCCGTTCGTAGCACAAGCATAATTATATCGACAAGCAAATGACCACATATCAAGCGCTAACAACATTAATCATATGAATGATTAAATATTTTCCACAATTTAAGAGCCAGACACCACAAAGCCTACAATTTTATGAGATGTATTACTTTGAACCCAATATAGGACACATCTAGATTAAACGAGATAAATCATACAAGGACAATTAATTATTGGGATAGGAAGAAGACAAACACAAAACCCTAGAACCAATATGATTTTAGGGTACAATCGATGAATTGAATCGTAGATTGTAGTATTGTTTTCTGGGACCGATTTAGGCAAAATGTTTAAAAAAAATCAACGATGGTAAATGATTTAAGCAACATCAGTGTTTCGAGGAAGATGGTTGCGACACTTGTGGCTTCGAGGAAGGAGGAAGACGACGAGGGTAGTGTGGTTGGGGAAGGATGGTGGCATGAACGAGTGTTTGGAGGTGTAAAGGCGCATGAAAGAAAATAGAAAAGGAAGAAAGAAATTGGTTTTGTGGGTATGAAGAGAACTCTTGCATAACTGGATGGTTCTTAATCGTATTTAGTTGAATGGTTAATATGGTTCCGAACTAGAGGCTTAAATTTGACAAATCAAAAGCTCTTAATGATTGAACTATTTGGAGGTTGCCTCTTAATGGAACCATTAAGAGGTTATTAAATTGAGCCTAACTAATGAGCTATATCGTTTTTCCCTTCTATTGTATTATCTTTATTTTTCTCATAAATCTTACGAGGCAATAAGAATTAACTAAAAAAATCTTATATTTGTCGACAATTATAAAGTCATTAAATAAACAAATAACAACGCACCAAGTTGTGATTTTGTATGCCGCTTCATACGATATGTCATGTTCAGTTTCAAGCTCAAGGGACAAATTTTGAGGTTCGATTTTGAGTAGAAAAGAGAAACAATTTAAGATTATACATTGAATATTTGAACTAATATGTGAGCTCAATTTTTCTAGTGTTTGGAAATAATTTAGAATTTACACTTTTAAAATTTAAAAACCATTTAAAAAAAAGTAATTAGGATTGTAGCTTTGCTACAAAACGATCCTATTGAGATTCATGTTGTTTTTGGTTTATGGGACCTTAGGATCTTATAATATTATCAAGATCCCGTTCTTAAAAACTCTGATATATATACCCATTAGTCTTTCTTTGTTAGGATTTAACTTTTTATGCATTTGTTTTTATTTAAGTTTCCTTCCACATATATATTTTACTTTTAAAATATTTTTTAGACATTATTGCTTTAGTGAGAAGTCCACATAAAGATCAAAAATCCAAATTGACATTAGTCGATAAAACTCAAGCGACTCGTGATTCAATAGTGTAAGGTCTATACTCAAGATCAACTCATCAAAATATCATTCAAGTTGATTGCTATTTCACTAAATGTACTAGAATCTTCACTTCACTTGGATTAAATGAGCTCGCAAACTTCTTTCTTTTTCCTGTATCTTCAAATAAAAAAACATTTAGTAAACAAAAGTATTTCTTAAATTATTTTCATTATGTGCAAACATACGCACAATTTATGTATCAAAAAAACGAAAATAGTTCACCTTAAGTGTCATGACGACACGCATCCATCTTTGTAGCTCTGCCAAAGACTCTTTTTCTTCTTTTGCGATGATTGAAAGTTCGGTTAACAAATAACATGAATTCTCCACCTATATATTAAAAACCATGTGACATGTTAGTAAAAATTATAACAATATAATTGTATTTCAACTCTGTTTTTTTTTTTTTTTGGGTTCAATATTCTCTTACTAAATCTTTTTACTTATCCTTCTATTATTGGATCATGACAAATATCAAAATAATGAGATGACAGAAAAAAGAAAGGTGCATTACACATATCAATAATTAATTAGGTAAGATGATGAAATAGAAAAATAAAATATGTAGAAATTTTATTTTCTGTTTTTTTTACCTGACAATTTAATTTTGGGATTGTTGATTCTATATCTTCCAAGAGTCTTGTGGCGTTGTCCAACGCGTCACGAACCATTAAAATCTCTCCCTATGTAAATACAACATGATAAAAATGTTTAAATAATATTTTAGAAACTTAGGAGAAATATAATTGAAATGAAATTAAGAATGTACCTTAGAATCATCAACCAATGGGATATTGACAGATGCTACAGACAATTTTCTAACCATTCGACCTACAGCTTCAGAGTTTTTAGCCTCCAATTTCGGCCATTTTTCTAACAAGAATAACTGTGAGTTCATAATATGATACAATCTGATGTCTCTTTCGAGCTTTTCTAATTCCATCCGCTTTACCATGTTCGAATTTCTTATCGCAAGTATCTTGAGCCATGCATTGAACGTTTTCTTCTGCATAAAAATACAACTACAAACATAAGAGATCACTAAATTCATACTTGATCATGTATCTTTGATCTTTCTTGTTCATGAAAATACCTCTGCCAAGCTTTTCACGGTGGACATTGCAGCCTGAGCTCGAGCATTTGCAAACCGCCATTGCAATAACCGATTGTTCATCAGTTTTGAACAATGCCGATCTGCTTCTTCCGATGACGCAACTTTCTTTTGCTTAAAGTACTTTAAAACTCCGCTGATTCTACCACCACCGCCGCCGCCACCCTCACCGCTGCTCCTGCCACCTGTACTTGGCGTCTTTGGCGGCACCACCGCTGTCAAAATAGGCGGAGCCCTCCCCGGAGATAAAGCCCACGCGGAAGGAGATGTGGGTTTTTTTCGTGGCAGAAACCGGGTAAACGTTCCGTCTCCTCCATTGCTATCGGCGTCTGAAGACTTCTTCTTTTTAACCACCGGATTAGTGACTCCGGTATTGATCTTCATCGGCTTCGGGAGGTTAATCATGAAACTGTTTACTTCCATCTCCTTAAAATTTCTCGTTTTTGAAGTGGATGTTGAGCGCGATTTGGAGACTGTGTTTGATCTGTTGGATAATGTGGTGGTGGGAGGCGGAGATATGGCTGGATTTTCGCTTTTGCAACGTATCAGACGGGGCAATGGTTGTTTTCCGGCGGGTGATGGGTGGTGGAGACGGCTGCTGGATCGAGGACGTTGATCCATTTTGAATTTGTTGAAGTTTCTGGAAACGAATTGGTGGAATTTATGTGAGTTGAGGGTTGCATGGAAGTCAACGTTTTGACTTAATTACGCATGTAATATTGAGACTTGAGAGCACGTTTAGGGTTGTTGGCTTGAAGTCAACTTTTGGACCATGCAATGTTGAGAGCATGTAGTGTTTAATTTCTTGCCAAATTTTGTCGCCATATATGTTTTTATAGTGTGGGTGTGTAAATTCATTTGAACTTATATTATTAAAAAAACTTAAGCCACTTATATTGATTCTCGTTCGGTTTAATACAACCTCACGATAACAGTGATGAATATGATAAATTAGGGAACTCGAGCTTTGAAAGGGTCAGAGATAATGCCATGATGAATGATTATCTATGGTACACGAAATTATGATATAAATATTAGGCAATTGATTATGAGAATCGATGTTGGTGAAGTAAGAAGAACCAAAGGGAGTTTTCTTATAATTGCAAATAATAATGTTGGTGTGTAAAGAGAAGAAAATTCAACACTCTTTTATCAATCATGTTAACATGCCATCATATGCTAACATCGCATAAGTGTTTCTCATTATTTGTCATCATGGCAACACTAGGGTATATGTTATAAGTCTATCTAAGTATATATGCATTACATTGAAGGTCAAATGCCACATTTGTATAGTTTCACTTTCACATTGATGAAACGCCACTTCATTGGACTCAAAGATTGGACTCAAGGATGAGTGTTTGAATGGGTCGTATGATTTCCTTGTCTAGAACCTTGAATCACCCGCAAAAACATATATAAGCGTTTGTCGTAACCTGGGGTGTGGCCTCCTGATCACACTCTCGCACCGGACGAAAAGGACCAGTTGAAAGAATGAGTATTTGCTTTCCTTGAACATTTGTTGACGTATGGTATTATAAGGTTGGTGGCATCAAACATGTTTTGATTTTTTGTGTAGCACAAGGTGTACGGTACGAAGTAGGGGTGTTTGCAGTGCGGTTTATAGCCAAAATCACAAACCGCACCACATATGTAGTTTGAGTTTTTCGAAAACCACAAACCGCGCCGTGAACTATGTAAACCGCATTTTGCGGCGCGGTTTATGTGGTTTGCAGAATTATGTATTGTATAAAAGTATTATACGATATAAAAAAAGAATTAACACAAAGAATGATATTTATGATAAATGACACATAGAGGTTAAACTACACGATTATCAATAACTTGAATGAAATAAATTTTTTTATCTTAGTTATGAAATGAGTTAAATCCATATCTTGCATCCTTCAATCTTCGATCGGTTTCTTCCTTTGTTTATATGTATGAACAATTGGTTATATATATATATATATATATATATATATATATATATATATATATATATATATATATATTGCGGTGCAGTTTAAACCGCGATTTCATATTTAAAAACCATAAACCGCACCACGTAGTGTGTTTTGACAAAATTAGAAACCACAAACCGCACCGCGAATGTTCCAAAACGCATTATATGGTGCGGTGTAATGTGGTGCGGGCGGTTTATGCAATTTTCTGCACACCCCTAGTACGAATTACCCTATACAATAGTACTTCTCGTGCTTCGCTTGATAAATTGGTGCACGATCGTTTGGGTTAAGGTTACCCACTAATTATTATTTCGTTCAAAATGTGTTTGGATATTACCATATTCATATCATTCAGTTGAACCAAATGTCATCAACCGTATGTTGGTGTTTGAGTTACTTTGCTTGAGTTTAAAATTATCCTAAATGTTATTATATTCAAGGCTTTTTATGGATGGATTGCAAATGGACTCTCGTACCTTTTCACACCCTAGAAATGTCTCAAGCGGTTCTTGGTATTTTCAACTAGTATATAATCCGTGGTAACCAAAATTATAAAATTAGTTAAACTTCATATAAATTTATATTTATTAATTAGTTATTTTAGACAAATCGGTTTGAATAAATTATTAATTAAGAGATATATAAAAATTTTAAAGTTATTATAACTTCAAATTTAATATATAATTATAAAATATAAATTTGAATTTTAAATTTAGTTGCCTAATATATCTACATGACATATGGCATAATATTAATGATGAGTTGTATCAGAGTGATACTTGGCAAAAGGATATTAAAATTATTCATTTATTAGAATAGGGATTAAAAGTTTGAAATATTTATTTAAAACATCATTTGTTAGGGTAAATGTAACATCTTGATTTCTAGGTATTCCATTTTGACCCTTGGTTTGAGTACTGTTTGCAAAATTAGTCCCGAGTGGCATTTTTGTAATTTTGAGGCATGCATGCGTACGCTAGGCGTACATTGCGTACGCAAGGTGTACGTAGCCACGTTGCAAACCCTAATTTTTAGGATTTGGACTCTATTTAAGCATCATTATAGCCCCATACCCTTTCTTAACTCCAACGTTGTAACACCTAGATCCCCGTTACGTATTTAAATATTTATTTAATCATTTTCACAAGGCAACTCGACGAGTTGGTAGCCCCAAACTCGTCGAGTAGAGATAGAGAAGGACGCAGGGTTTGAAGTCTACTCGACGAGTTGGGAAGCCCTAACTCGACGAGTTGGGAAGCCCTAACTCGACAAGTAGGACCGCCAGAATGAAACCCTAATTTTAAGGGTTTGGCACCCTATCTAAAGAACATAAAACCCCCTTGTGGCCTCCCTAATCGTCTCCCATTGTCCAGAAAACCCTAATCAGTGAGCTTGAGCTTTGTGTGAGTGTGTGAACCATTTTGAGTGATTTGGTGTGATTTGAAGCTTGTGAGAAGAAGAAGATGCTAGAGGAATCCAAGAGAAGGTTGTAGATCCATAAGCAAAATCACATTTCCTTCACTTTCTGGTAATCAGGTCCATACCTTGGCCATTTGTTTTCTAGATCTTCTTATGGGGTAGTTAGGGCATTTTTGAGTTCATGTTGGAACCATTCATGAGTGCAAGCATGAGTGGGTGTATCTTCTACAAATCTAGGTCCTTGAGGGACTCTGTGGCATAAAGGTGCCAATTTTATGGCCATGGGAGTCCCATGCACCTTATGAGTCACCTTTTTGGACCTTTCGAGCTAAAAACCCCATGCATGCACGTAAAGTTAGAAACTTTATGTGATATAAGGACCTTAGGTGTAACGCCCCGTTCCTGGTACGTATTTATTTTGATTAATGTTTCTTTTTGGAAGAGCTACTCGGTGAGTTGTAGTCCTAACTCACCGAGTAGATGTCGAGTTGGATGCGGGCTTTAAGTGATCTACTCGGTGAGTCCACGCCTGGACTCGGCGAGTAGGCCAGTCAGGAGGAAACCCCAATCCTTAGGGTTTGCACCCTATTTAAACGTCCCTATAGCCCCATCTCAGCCTCCATCACCCTCAGAGCGTTCCTTATCGAAACCCTATCCTCCATTGGTGAGCTTGAGTGATTGTTGACTTATGAAGGGACTTTTGGTGCACTTTGGAGCAAGTGGAAGAAGGGAGAGGTTGAAGAGGTCAAGGAAGGGGACTTAGATCCAGAACACATTCGTTTGTGGTCATCCATTCTGGTAATAAAGTTTCCATCTTGATTATTGATCTATTAAATCTTGTTTGTGCATAAATTGTTGCTTTTAAGCCCTAAAACCGTAAATCCTTTGTAAAGAAACCTTATGGTTGGGTTATACTTCAGATCTGGACTCTCATTACCTTCTAAAAGTGTTAAGTTTCAGTCATATTTGTGATTAAGGTCCCTCTTAAGCTTAGAACCCCATTAAGAGCTTAGTTTGGACATTTGAAGCTCCTAAAGCCATGCATGCACGTAAAGTTTACAACTTTACATGATAAGCATGCCCTAGAAGCCTAGATCTGTGGTTTGGAGCTGCTGCATGGCTCAAATCAGGTCTATATGGAAAAAGGACTGAATGAACTCAGCGAGTAGAATGTTGGACTCGGCGAGTCCTATGAAGATAGCCGTGAACTCGGCGAGTTGGATGAGCAACTCAGCAAGTCCGATGAAGATTGCCTTAGACTCGACGAGTTGTTCTTCAACTCGGGGAGTCGGATAAACTTGGACTCAGTATACGTGTATCGAAGAAGAACGCGTCGAGTCTTCGCTAAGCTCGACGAGTATAAATGAGTATAAAACTATAACAGATGGAAGGGACTCGGTGAGTTGGCGAGCCAACTGGGCGATTCCGGTCAACCAGGAGTTGAATTTGACCACGATGTTGACTTTGACCGGGGGTAAAATAGTCATTTTACGCTAAGATTAGTTATCAGTATTTGACTTAGTGTTTATGGAAATTGTAGCCGGGGAGTTCCGGTTTAATAGTCAGGCGCTCAGCAAGCATACTTTCAGTAGCTACTTCGTGGTGAGTTACCTTCTAGTAGCAGTGGGTCTAAGGCCACAATGCCGACCCACTAGTAGGAATTATATGATTAGATGATTGTCTCTGTGATATTCACCTAGGATTGCCACTACCTATGTTATGTTTATGTGTGTGTATGATATGATGTTATGTGCTAGTGATAGAAAGGGAGACCAACACCCAGATATGCTAGTCAGTATCCGGTCGAAAGGACCAAAGGGGAGACCAGCACCCAGATATGCTAGTCAGTATCCAGTCGAGAGGACCGAAGGGGTAGGTCGGGCACCCAGATATGCCTGACAATATTTGTATGTTATGTGGTTATTTGGTATGCGGTACGATGGGGGAATTCACTAAGCTTTGTGCTTACGATTTTTAGTTGTTGTTTCAGGTACCTCTTCAGCCAAGGGGAAGAAGCTGGCGCGGTAGCGGCATATCACACACACTCTTGTTTTTCCGCACTATGAGACATTCTGGGATTTGTACATTGATATTATTATGATTTACGTTCTGTTTTACAACGCGAGGCATGTTTTATTAAATGATATGGTCGAATAATATTTTGTTACAAACGTTATGCAAATCACTTAATTAAAAATGAAATTTTTGGCCCATAATTTTTGGGATGTTACATTA